TCACTTCCCAAACCTGAAGCTCAAGGCAAGACCGCTGCCCATTATTGCAAGCAGGAGGGACCAGGGTCCAAGTCTGTGGAGCAAGTGAAGTTTAGACAGCATCCAGCTTAAAGACTGGAGCTCAGTGCCAATGACCCAACAATTCTGCCTGCCACCAGTGGGGCCTGGGAAGCTTAGCCTGATGCAACCCCACAGGGTACCTGTACTCCAGGGAGACCCACTCAGTAGTGGTGGAGTTAAATAGAGTTGTGGGAAAGAAACAAGAGGGGCCAGGCATGGTGACGCACACCTGCAATCCCAACCCTAGGAGGCTGAGTTAGGAAGATCACAAGTTCAAGTCAAACACCTGGGTGACTTAACAAGACCCTGTCTCAAGAAAAAAATAAATAAATAAAAGTGCTAGAGCTGTAGTTCAGGGTGAAGGCCCTCTGGATTCAATCCCCAGGGAAAGAAAGAGGAGAGAGAGAGAGAGAGAGAGAGAGAGAGAGAGAGAGAGAGAGAGAGAGAAAACAAGTGTGTGTGTCATGGGTGGGCATCAGAGTACAACGAGAAACCCTCTCATGATAGAACACCAACAATCAAAATTTCTGCCAAAAAATAGACACTGCTCTGAGCAGCAGGCAATTTTTTTTTCAGCCAACAAAATAGTAGTTGAAGTTATTACTTCTTTCAGCTGGTGTAATGCTAAATGTACTAACGTGAATGAATGAATGAATGAATGAATGAATGAATGAATGAATGAATGAATCGATGGAATGGATGAATATGTAGCTAAGAACTGCACAATAAATGAAGTCAATCTCCTTTATTTTAGATTTAAAATGAGGTCCAGAAGGTAAATCAGGCAGGAAGCTTGGCAGAGTTACATATTTTACAGCAGAGAACACAGATTGATATCCTGATCCATTTTGCAGTGTTGAGGATGCCACCAAGGCCTCGCCTGGGTCAGTGTGCCCCACTCCTTTGTGGTGACAGTCACAGAATTAGGGTCTCCCTCCCCCAAGGGCTCCTGCCCTGCATTTCACTCCTTCCAAACATTCCCACGACGATGGCAGTTTACATTTTCAAGTGATGCGCTTTTATCTAATTTGGGATTCCAAATTAGGAATTATATGCTGTTCTTTCAGCAAGCAAGAATTCCCCCTGTGGAACCCATGACAATTGTGCCTGCTTTCTAAAAGAGAGAGAGAGAGAGAGAGAGAGAGAGAGAGAGAGAGAGAGAGAGAGAGAGAGAGATCTAGGAGTGAATGGAGATCACATTTCTATGGAAATAGCAACTCCAGGTCCACAGGCATTCAGTCCTTTGATTTGCTGGGCTTCTGGCCAGACCTGCTCCAAAACATCTCTGCTTTTCCTCGAACCTGAATTTTATTGTTTTCAGTGAGTGAAACAATGCAAGCCCTGATTTGCCTATGGGAAGAAAATCTAGTTCATAATATTCAAGCAAGCAAGTGCAAGTGGGTTGCAGAGGCAAGAATTGAAAACAGCCAACCCTCCCTCCAAAGCCCCAGCGCTACTCTCCAGGACCCCACTTCACACATTCATGCTTTAGGGGCCCACATTCTCCTTCTTGCCTGACATTTGCATCTGATAGAGTACTGGGGGCCTCACACCCAGTGCTGCTAGCAACCTCGCCACCTCCAATCAGCTAGAGGGGGTCTAACCCCAAGCCCTGGCCACGGGAAGCCCTGAGGGCTTGAGCCTGGATGAAAGTAACTTAATTTGTGTTGTCTTCCCCCACCTCTTTGGTCACTTGCGGCTATTAGCTGTGCTAGATAGCACAGAGGGGTGGGGGGGTGGAGAAAGAGAGACAGAGAGACAGAGACAGAGACAGAGACAGAGAGACAGAGTGACAGAGAGAGATACTGAGCAAATCAGTGCTTCTCTAATGTGAAATTAGGTGATGGTGGCTCTGACCGTCTGCTTGGAGGTCTGAGGGAGGTCGTGGCTCTGAAGAACAGCTACTAAAGTAACCCTGTCTTCCCTCCTTGACAAGAGAAAGACTTCAGCCCAAAGCAGCCTCTTCCCCTGCAGAGGAGGAGAGGAAGGAGCAGGAGATCCAGAGGAGGCCGAGGGTGCAGGGCAGGGGAGGATGAGGAGGATCACCCCCTGTCTGGCAGTGGGGACCCAGCGGAATTACAGCTTGTAAAATAAGCCTCCATCAGTCTCCCAGGAGACAGCCCGCTGCAACTTGGGTGTTCCCCGCTTGTTAGCCTTAGCCATAATTGGCCTCTCCTCCCATCCCACACTGTTAGTTTTCTGTGTGTGGCTTTTGGTGTGAGCGTGTTAGGTCATCAACAAACACAATGGGGGGAGGGCGCGAGGGGGGACACACATGATTGTTTTAAAGAAGAAAGGAGAAAGGGGATAAGAGTGTGAGCAGGAAGGCTTCGAACAGAATGTGGGAGATGCCCCGGGATTTAGGCCTCCGAGCAACCCCTGGAGCGACAGGGTCGGGAAGTCCCTGGGAGTTCTGTCTTTAGCAGAGGCTGGGAGGTGGGACCCCTGCTGAGCTCACTGGGGACACAGCTAGGCTAGGCGTGTTTTGTTTGCTGTGTGCCTGCCCATATCCGAAGCATCTCATCAAAAACCCCTAAAGCAGCCAGGCAAGCAGGCCCTGGGTTTTTCTCCATCTATTTCTTTCTTTCTTTTCTTTTCTTCTCCCCCCTCCCTTTGATACTGGAATTGAACTCAGGACCTTGCACTTGCTAGGCTGTCACCATGCCACTGAGCTATATCCCTGGACCACCATTCATTTTTAAGTTTCTCCCTTGACCCCACTGTCTGTCTGTGCGTCCCCACCTCTTGGCGGAGGAGAACCGGTCCTGGAACCCAAGGTCCTGGAGAAGCGCTGTCTGAGGTCTGCCCAAGGAGGGGTCAGCTGTCCAGGAGGACAGAAACACAGTACATGACTTTCATTCAGCCAGGGCACACGGCTCAGGTCCCAGCCCCTTTCATCTTTACCTTAGAAAGAAACATTTGATACACATAAACAATAAGTATCCTTAAATCAAGTTGCAAACTTTTGGGGTCTTTTTTCTTGTTTTGTGCATTTACAGTTTTTAGTTTCACTTGCCAACCTGTGGCTAGCCTGGGTTGCCAGGTGATGCTGCCCAGGCTGGTGGCCAGGCTGTCCCCAAATGATCAAAACACTCGAGGTCTGACACCTGCCTCTTCTGTCACCACAGAGACAGCAAACTGGGACCACCAGTGCTGGGAGCACGGCTCCGCTCTGTAGGGCAGCACTCAAGCCTCAGGCTTGCTCTGTTGCTTACTGCTGGGCAGTCCCATGTCCACAGTGGTGGGGGACATGGAGGGTACAGATCCCTTTCTTTTGCCTTTCCCCCTGATCTTGACCAGTGATGATTCTCAGGGAAGGCTTTGCCACGCTTCAGGGACACCCACTGCTTCCAGCCAGGTGCGTCTCAGCCTCTCCGGTGCTTAGAATTTGAAAGATGCCTCCCTTGCCTGGCCACCGCCTCCACCCTGGCCTGCTGGGCCCAGCGCTTCACTCTCCAGCCCCACCCCCGCCTCGAAAGGGCCCAAAGCGGGGAAGGCTGGTTGCTCCGCATAAGCCGAGGAGGCCCGAGATAAAGATCAGGCGTTTAAATTGGCCATTTGAAAGATTACATCTCTTCAGCGAGGGTCTTTCTTTCAAAACTCGCAGCGAATTAAGGGCCTCGGCTACTCTGCTCTCGGCTCTCAAAGGCCAGGCACCTTTTAATTCCACCGTGGAGTGGGCTGGGCTAGGTGACCGCGCGCCTTCAAAGGCCCGAGGGGAGGCCGTGGGGCGACACTCGTCTAATGACAAGTAATCAACGGATTGGAGGCCCTGCATTACCAGCGGAACGGGGAAACATTAATTATTTAAAAACGATTAGCCTTGCCTTGTGTCCTGCCGGCACTACCTCGCTCGGGAGGATCACCAGCCACGCGAGGCGGAGACCCGGCTAGAGGAGGCAGCGAGTCCCCTTGGGCCTCGGAGACTGTGGGCACGGATCGAGGCCACGACAGGGCCACCTACAATGCGCACAGCACAGCCAGAAGTGCGCCATCAACCCTGAGTCCACGCGTCCTTGAGACCGATCCCTGTTCACCGGGCTTAGCGATCTGGTGAAGGCGGCGCACGACAGCTAAACGGTCCATTTGGGGTGGCAGGCAGTTTCCACCAAGGACCTGAAGCGTCCCAGAGCCAGGCAAACCGTAGACTAATCAAGGACCCCGCAGGATGCCTTGACGCCCTGGCGTAAAACTAGAAGACCCTGGGGAGATCGTAGCGTAGAGGGGGCGTGTTGGGTAGGTGGGCCCCTAGGGAAACCTTTTCTGTACCCTGCCCCGGAAAGGCAGGCGTCCCTGCAGCTGAGGAGCTGCTACTTTTCCCAGGTCTGCACCTCCCGCAGGCAGCAAAAGTGCGCCCAATTTTACCACGTCCTAGAGGCTCTGAGCCAAGCCCAGCACAGGCGGCTGAGTGGCCGGGACAATGAGGTGACAAAGGCCCCGCCGCGGCCAGTTTCGGGCTTACTGTCCAGGGCCCAGCTAAAGTCCCCCAGGCTCCTAGCCTGTTCGCCGCAGAACCCGCCTGTGAGTAAAGGCATGCTCGCGTGCTCTTTGGAAAGGAGCTGCCCCTCCCTTGTGCCCTGGCACGACCCCTGAGGCCCACGCCGGGCCAGGTCGCACGCGCGGAAGGAGCCGAGTCCAGACCTCAGCCGGGCGCGCCTAGACTTCCGCGCTCCGCACCCGGTACCCGGTTTCCTGCCGATCCCACTCTGTACGCCACCTCCATACTATCCTCTGGATTCAGTCCCCAGCCCGAGTGGTGGCAGGAACCTGTCTCGGTTTCTCAGTGTGTGTGGGGGGGGCACTAGACCCCCAACTGCGCGCCTTCCAAGCTGCGCAGCCTGGAGCCCTTTCCCACCCGGGCGTCTTCCCCGGGCCCCGCCGGGCATCTCGGCCCCTGTGGAGAGAGGACCCGGCCAGGCGGGGAGCCGCGCGCTCCCTACCTGCGTGACCAGGTCTGTGGGCGGCAGCGGCGGCTGTTGCGGCCGACGGCGGTGGAGCGTCCAGCGCGCGGAGGGAGGCGGCCGACTGCTCCGAGCCTGGGCATCCCTGCATTTATTTGAGCTCAAACCCAGCGACTGTTGACTTTAGCACACAAAGCAAAGATTTCACTGCCCGCTAGTTTAAAAATGAATATTTTACCAAGATATCGATCAGCGTTATAAAATTCAGTTAAGTACAATGGGATCTTGGAAAAAAAAAGAATAATAAAGGAGGGGGAGGCAATATAATATCTGTGCAAATTTGCTGAGGTATGACGTGGCGTGGGGAGTTTACCCTCCTGGAATTCGGATCTAGCATGTTTTTTTCGGTTGTTTACTGACTTTGTTTATTCACACATCACGGTTGCTTAAACCCTCGCGCGAAAGGAAGGCGCGGGGAGAAGGACGCGAGAGAGGGGGCGCGCTGCACCCCGCAAGACACGGAGCTGGGCGGGCGGAGGCGATGGGGCGTCCGCTCGGAACCAGGCGGGGGAGGGGTTGCGAATAGCACCATAGGCAGCAAAGCCGGGAAGCGCAGCTCCGACCTCCTTTTCGGGTATTCCTACAGAACTCTATCTTGCGGGCAGGATCAGTGGAGGGGGGCGCGTTAAGTAGTTTAAAACGACCCTCGCACAATGGGGGAGCGATAGGAAACATAGCAGGTTAGGGCCGCGCTTTCAGCCCTCATTGTCCCACACTCGGCCCCCGGCCCTGCCTCTCGGCTTCTTCGCCACGGGAGCCTTTTATGTGATAATGAGACACATTTCAGGCCAGGCTCACGACGTGTGTGTCCTTGCCAGGGGAAGAGACGGCCTGATTGCCGGCCTCCGCACCCACCCCCATTTCTCTTCCTTGTGTTCCTTGGGACAATGTGGCGTGTTAAAAGGGGGGATTTGAGGGCGGGGGTGGGTGGAAGAGCAACCCCCCTCCCAGCGCGTGGGAAGGCCTGGGAGTGGGAGGGGCGCCGACCGCAGCGAGGTGGCGGAGGGCTCTTGGTCTGCGGTGTCCAAGACCTGGACCCTGTAGGGACATCCCGAGTTTCTCTTTTCAGGAAGCCCCAATATCTAGCTTCCGAAGCTGACGCGTAGGCTTAGGAAACAGAAGCACCAAGTCTGAAGTTCTGAGGCTCCAGTGCGATTTTACTGAGCACAGACCACAGGCGGCTCCCTAGACAGTGGCTGGCAGGCCCAGGGATGTTGTGGCAGAGCCCAAGCTGGGCTGCCTTTGCTGCCTGCCGGGGTTTCCACTACAGCCAGGCCACCTGTGGGGCTAGCGAACGCAGTTTGAAAGAATGTATTCTGGATCCTTCTACTTTTGGAGTTTCCTTGAAGGCTCCACAAAGTACCCTCATGCATTGGGCTGTAATCCCATATTGCCAGCCTGGAATCCTGGCCTAGCAGGATGCTTTGCTCGGTCTCAGGGCTTGTTGTGAAGGTGAAAAATAATTCTTAAGACACTGGGATGCCCCACCTGCCAAGATCATTTGATAAGCAACACTAAGGACCCTTACTGCAGCCCTAGTCCCACATACACCTCATGTTTAGGAAGGAGAAGTGGAATGTCGTCCGCTGCCTCATCTAGCCACGTGTGTACCTGGCCTGGTCTCCTTTCCAGACGAGGCTACCAGGGTCAGCTCAGGTGCAAGGACAGAGCTGCACTAGGAATCTGCAATTCATTCTAGGCTCAGTGGCTCTGATAAAGCGTAGGTAGAAACAGCAGGGGCGGATGAAGCCTAGGCTTCCCCAGAACAGGCCAATCGCCGGTCTAAGAGAGACATCCGGCCGTGCTGTCTTCCACAGCCCAGACACATTGTGGAGACAGGTGGAGACTGGTTTTATCCCAGTTTTAAAAACAAACCTGCTTGAATGGTCCACAGGGGACTGTGTTTCACTATACATACAGTTAAAGTCCAGATTGAGTACTTCATGAGACTGGCCTTGATGGGATGCTGGAGGGAGAGGGCTGGCACCACCCCCTAAACGTGGTGGAGGGATGGAGGTGTGCAGGGAAGGAGGTGTGGTGAGAGGGACAGGGACATGAGATGAAAACTGGGCCATTGGCCGTAGGTGCTGTGTGCTCACAGTGGGGAAAAAAAAGCTTAACTTTAATATTTTAATAAAATGTTGAGAAAGTGAGTAAAGTCTGCTACCCCCAACCACACAAAGCCCTGCCACCAACTATTGTCTACCTCCCTCCTTGGAATCAATTTATATGTTTATTCTTTATTTTTAAAGTCAGATTAAAAAGAAAAGACAAAGAAAACCTTGAAGATTCAAGGGATAAAACCGGTAATAACACTTTAATATAGATTTGTGGAACTCTGGGCCTTGTTACCAGAATACACATTTAATAGCCATAAATAAAGCACACAGGAACCATAAATTAATCAGACCCGAGACCTGGATTTCACCGTGTGGAGAATGGGAATGCTCTTTTTGCTTTTTGTTGGCCATTTACAACAGACCCTTACGTCATTTTTTTTTCTGTCTCTTTAAACAATAGTACAACCCTCTCAATCTCTGTTAAAACTACGTGGTTTTACATTGAGTCACTCATACAAGTTTTTTTTTCTTCCTTCTAAGTAAATCTTCCCTGCAACAACAGCGATGAAAGAGAACAACAACAATAACAAAAAAAAAAAAAAAAATCCAGGATCTGCAGGTGCTGAGAGAAACAGTAGTCTACAGAGCAATGGGAACCAAAAGCATTTTTGTCTTTTCCTCTTTTTATACTATTTCCCCCTCCCTCTTATACAGAATGCCAGGCATCCGTGTGTCCGTCCCTGGGGAGCACAGGCTGAGGAGAATGTGAGCAGGAATGTCTGTCTGGGGTGGAGGTGTCCTGGGTCTCTCCTCCCTTGTAACTTTTGGAAAGCCCCTCCCTGGAGCCTCTACTGGCTTCCTCTGTCTCTCGCTCTTCTCCTGGGCTGCTGGAGCCAGCCGGGCCTGCAGCTGTCCTTTTAAGAGGAGTTCATGATGGGCCGCGAGTACACACCCTGGTAGTAGGAAGGGTCCGCCGCCAGGGGTGAGGCATCCAGGCCAGCTTTGTTCGTGACGGGGCCCATGGCCAAGCTGCCTGGCATGGGGGACCCGTAGCCGGGGTAGTGCATCACCTGTTCATAGGCCTTGAGGTCCATTTTGTGCGGCTGGTGGTGGTGGTGACTGTGGTGGTGCTGCTGCTCTGAGGACATGAGGTTGTTGATGGAGAACGGGTGGTTGAAGGCGTAGTGGTGCTCCGGCTTCAGGTGCGCCTCCGGCGGCAGGACGGGATGGTGCGCAGGGCCCAGCAGGTGTGCTGTGGCAGAGGGCTGCTGCCCTGGGGAAGGTGCAGGCTCCGGAGGGCTCAGTGCTGCGGAGGGGGGTGCCTTCAGCTCCCCGAGGGCCCCACGCTTGTGCTCCTGGCAAGGCGAGGTGCTTGAGTGCGGCGACTCCGTGCCCACTGGCGTTTCTGGGGCCGGCCCGGAGGGCTCCCCTAGGGGGGCCTGGGAGGCTGGAGTCCCCGCTGTGCCTTTTTTGCCACTGCCCGCTGCTTCCTTCAGTGCCAGCTGCTTCTCGCACTTGAAGCGCTTCTGGCGGCGCAGGTAGCAGCCGTTCTCGAACATGTTGCCCGAGTCGGGGTGCAGGGTCCAGAAGGAGCCCTTGCCAGGTTTGTCTGGGGAGCGTGGCACCTTGAGGAAACAGTCATTGAAAGACAGCGAGTGGCGGATGGAGTTCTGCCAGCGCTGCTGGTTCTGCCGGTAGAAGGGGAAGAGGTCCATGATCCACTGGTAGATCTCGCTTAGCGTCAGCATCTTGTTGGGGCTCTGCTGGATGGCCATGGTGATGAGTGAGATGTACGAGTAGGGCGGCTTAGCGTGCGTGTAGCTGCGCCTGTAGGTCTTGGGGTCGCGTGCGCGGCTCAGCCCCGCCTGCCCGTACATAGGGCTCATGGAGTTCATGTTGGCGTAGGGCGCCAAGCCTCCCATGGCCCCTGCCGCCTGGCCCCCAAGTGGACTCAAGCTGGGGCTCAGGTGCGGCCCCATGCCCGCCACGCTGGCCGCGCCAGCGGAGCCCCCCATGCCCGCCATGGGGCCGGCGCCTGGGGACATGCCGGCCAGGGATGGGCTCATGCCCGCGCCCACGTACGAGGACATGTTCATGGAGCTTGCGCCCATGTTGCCCGAGCCGCTGCCCATGGCGGCCGCCGACATGCTCATGTAAGTGTTCATGCCGTTCATGCCCAGGCCGGCGTTCATGTTGCTCACGGAGGAGTAGCCCTGCAGACAGAGCCGGGAAGGGGGACAGCGTTAGCGCCGCGCCTCCGAGGTGCCCACACCCCCGCTGCCTGTTCAACTGCGGTCCCCGCCTCTGGGGCTGCCTTTTGGGAGGACGCGCCTCCTCCGGGCCCCGAGCCCTGGACTCCGAGCGCACTTCTCTCAGGAGAACGGCCAGCACCCCTGGGGAGGTGACGGGCGGTGCGAGGCTGATCCGGGGGAGTAGCCCGCTCCGAGAGCTTCCGCGCCTCGCCCAGATCCTGAGACAGCAGCTCCCCGGAGCGCCCCGAGAGTGCCCCCCCTCCGGGTTCTCCCCAAACTCTCCCGCCCGCATGCTGAGTGGGCGCCTAAACCCAGAGTCCCTGGACATGGCCACCTTTAATCCCAGAAAGAAAGCACTAGGACACTGCCTGAGGAGGCACAAATGGAGACTGTCCCAGGGTCTCCCTTGCTCGCGTTCCTTCCAGGACCCACTACCCCTGTCCCCGGGGAGGTGGAGCGCTGGGGCTGTGCGAATCGGGGGCGCTGTTCCCGGCTCTGAGTGGGAGACTAGGGAGGCTCAGAGCGCTGGGGATGGAACCCTGGCGGTGGGGCTTCGCAGCCGCCAACTTTCTTTCTCTTTGTGGCGAATCTGAGATTCTGCTTCCACCGGGCCCGACTCTGGCCCACCTCTCCTCTTCCGCCCCCCACCCTCTCCGGCCGACCTCCCACCCCTCCCCAGCCGCGCGCCGCCAAACATAACTCTGTTAGGATAGTGCGTGGCGCGGCCACGGAGAGGATTTGGAGGCGCCGCAAGTCAATATTTGATCACAAAGTTAATATTATCTCAAGGCTAACAGTGTGTCGTATAAAAAAGAGACCCATTTGAGTCGAAGGAGGGCGGAAAAGGCGGTTGCTGAGCGGGCCGGGTGGGGGACGGTGC